TTGACAAGTTGACTCTAAAATTCATATGGAAATGCAAAGAACCCAGAATACCCAAAACAATTTTGGAAAAAGAGGAATAAAATTAGAAGGCTACTATTATCTGCTTTCAAGACAATTTACAGTTATCAGAATAATCCAGGATAATCTCCCCATCTCAAAATTCTCAATCACATCTTTTGCCATATAAGATGATATTCTCCCTTTTGCCATATGAGGTAATATTTATAGGTTCCAGGATTTAGGATGTGGATATCTTTGGGGGCCATTATTTAGCTAACCACAGATCCCATGTGGATACCCAGTTCCTTCAGTTATTTATACTTTATAGTCTATCTTTCCTTAAGGATATTCAGTGCCTCCTCTGTGATAAACCACATTTACATATTTGTGTACATTTATTCTGTGTTCTGTATTCTGTTCTAGTCATTTTTGCACTTTCCCCAATACCAAATTATCTTAATTATAATAGCTCTATAATAGATTTTAATGTATGAAAGGCCAAGTCCCCTCAATTCAATCTTCTTTAAGAATCTCTTGGTTATTATTGGCCCTTTGTTTTACATTTAAATTTTATGATCAGCCACCAAATTTCACCAATTTCTGCCTGCTAGCATTTTTGTCTATTAAAGAATTAAAATTATAGATATAGGTCAATTGGAAGAAAATTGACGACTTTATGATGTTGAGCCTTCCTTGTCAAGAACATAGCCTAGTTCTCTGCTTATTTAGATCTTTCTTTGTATCTTTCAGTAAGGTTTTACATTTTGCTAATTGAAGGTCTTAAGTATATTTTTTTATATTTCTAGGAGCTTTATTTTTGTTGCTGTTTTAAATAGTATCTTGAGAATTAATTTTTCTGATTGCTGGGTATAGAGATGCAGTTGATTTTCGTATATTGATTTGGTAACCATCAGTTTTACTCTATCTTATTTATTTTAAAAGATTATTTCTAGATTCTTTAGGCTATTCCAGGCAGACAGTCCTAAAATATGTGAATAATGGTAGTTTGTTCTTCCTATTTATAACCCCCCTTTTTTTCCCTTATCTTACTATACAGGAATAGAACTCAAGTGTAATACTGGACATCTAAGATATCTTAGGTGGCAAGTGTTTGAAAGCTCATGGTTACATTTTCTGGTATTTAATGCAGTGTAATCTGCATTCAGGGATTTCAGGGCTGTTAAAGAGGTTCTATAGTGCATTTCTCTGCTTCTTATGTACGAAAACAAGATAATGTAATCATAGATGAGAAACTGCCCTATTTTAAAAAACATTTAAATATTTTGCTCTACTAATAAGGAATCTGTCCTTTTAGCTTACTAGTCCCTTCAGGCTGGTTTCTAAAATTTAGGCTAACTCTTGTAAATGCAAGGCTGGGTATTACTTGTACTCCCATCCCATCCTGGGTGAGGGAAAGGGCTAGCTACAAATAAGACAGATTCCTTTGAAGTAATTAATAACTCCCAAAGAAACATTGGCTCACTGCTTTATTACAACACATCTCCTTTTTTAAAATTTATTTATTAAGTAAGGCAGTCAAGGTAACAGATGGGGAAAGCTTAAAGCCTGACAGTTATAAATAGTCTTGCAGTTTGTTCCACAATATATTTGCAGTTCCCTTTCTTTGACATTCCAAAAGTTGGATCTCTGTCAAAATACTTTGCTCTTGACCAAGGAGAACAAATCATTACTCATAGATTTAGACACTAAAATAATGGAGTAGGGTGGTGAGGTTTGGGGTCTCTGAAAATTTTACTCATGTTCTAGAGTGTTGTCAGTACTATAATACTTGGTCTTTAGAGAAACCTCCTTTCCAGGGATCAGATGGATTGGGGGAACCCTTTGAAGAAATCAGCTGTTCCAAATGTTGCTAAGATTGCTTTTGTTTCTTAGAATCAAAGTAATACTTGCCTAATGACTACTGTGCTGCCATATGCTAGGGGACCACAGAATAAGTATTCCTGTCTTTAAAAGGACAGTCATGGAGAAAAAGCATTAACGATGCAGAGGCTAAATAGCAACAGAAGGCGGCGGAACATAAAATGTCACAAAGTATTATAATAATGATAACAAATTATATATATCATTTGGTTGTTCAAAGTGTATTTGCTGTAGTAATGAAAAATACACCTAAAAGAGCATCAAAAGTATTTTGAATGTTCAGAACATTGCACACAAAGCAAATGCATAATTTTTCCTTCAATAACTGAAATTTAAGTGATGCAAATTTAAGGAAAACCTGTCAAACTATCAAAGATTTTTAAAAGTGGTGATATATCTACTGCCGAGGAGGATGTGGAAAGACAGGAACCATTAAATGCCATTGTTGTTTGTGTGTAAATTGGTACAATAATTCTGGAGGGCAGTATGCCCATAGCTATCAGAATGTCAAATGAGCATCTCTGTGTCCGCAATTCTATTTCCAGTAATGGTGGGCTCAGTAATTTGTATCGACTCTCTCTCTAAGAAAAGCTAGAAGAGCAAGGCAAAGTATTTTTTAAAACTTGTTTTGAAGATAAAACAGAGCTACTAGAACAGTGAATAATTATGGGTCCAACATCCAGAAGAAGGAACCAAGACAATTAAACTTTGTGGGGGAGGGACTCTTTATTCTTAGCAATACTGACTTTTTGGTAGATACTGCAGAGAGGCTGAAAAGTTAAGTTGCATTAGGAAAGAAAATAAAGGCATTAATGGAATGCCCAAGGGAAAAGGGCCTGAGTAATCCCCCGGGCTTGAGGGTGGGACCCAGGCAAGTAGCAACTGGAAAAGGACCAGCCCTCACAATGACTCGGTTTTGAATCAGTTCACAGGGGTCAACTTGTTTTAGACAGTTCTTCACTGGGATTCCAAGAGATAATTAATCCCCATTGTTTTAAGGCATCTATTGTATATGAGGAATTAACTTCTCTTTTATATCTAGGAGAGTACTACCTACATTCCCTTCTTGGGAGAATAGGGAAAATAGTTACTCAAATGATTTGCTGCAAGGCTTAATTCTCTCAGAGACTAAACTACAAATGGTTAGATGAAGCCATCTGGGATTGCTAATGCTCCCTGATCATTAGCTAGAAGCTGGAGAAAGAGATCATGTTAGGGCTTAATTATCACTCGTTTTTTATATATACTGATCAAATGCAATCAAAATAACCATGTATGTGAGGAGAACATTAGATAAACAATAGAAACAAACCCATAGGTTGCCAGATAACAGAATTATCTGGTACAGATTTTAAAGATAGTCTTAGTAAAGACAAAACTGAATAGAGACCTGGAAACTATAAAAAAATCTAAAGGAAAGCCTAGAACTGAAAAGTTACAATGACAAATTAAGAACTCAGTAGGAGAATTTAATAGCCTATTTAGTACAACCAGAGATAGATTTTATAAACTGGAAATTAAATAAATCAAAAAAATATTCACACTAAAATGTGTAGAGACAAAATACAGAAAAGAGCCTAAGAGATAAGTGGAATGTGGCAAAAAGCTCATATATATTCCCATTATGCACTATATTATAAATATATAAATATTGTTTTTACATACATAAAAGGGAAGAAATGAGAAAATGGAACATAAACCATATTTGAAAAGATAATGACTAAAATATTTTCAAAAACCTTTTCAAAAACCGATGAAAGGCATTAACTCACAGATTCAAGAAGCACCAAAAATCCCAAGATGGATAAATGCAAACCACACCTGGCAATATTGTATAGTAGTAAGACTGCTGAACACCAAAGACAAAAAGAAAATTTTAAAGCAGTCAGAGGAAAAGACATATTAACTCAAATGAGTAGCAAGTCTGTAAGCTGAGTTCTAAGCAGAAATGGTGGAAGACAAAATACAACAGTATATTTTCAAAGTATTGAAGAGATTATAGGAAAATTGGCCGTAAATATGTTCAAGGATACTAATTCAATTTTAATTTGTTATAATGAAAAGTTGGAAACCACAAAAGAGACTGGCTAAAGATATTTACCTCTCCTTTAAGTATGATATGTTAAAATGTTCCAGATTTATTATAAATGAAAAAAGCAGGTTATGAAATAATATATAATGTATGCTCTCATTTACATTAACAGTATTTAAATGAGATTAAGGATGGAAGGATCAGCTCCAAAATGCTAACAATAATTAGGTGGTGGAATTATGAGAGGATTTTTACTTTCTCTATAATGTTTTTATAATGATGGTATAACATCAAGTAGAGATTCTTCCATTTTTTCAAAGAAAACATAACCAGTCAGTACTTTAAAGCAGGGGTGCCCCACCTTATGGCATCTCTAGGCCACCCAGGAAGAAGAAGAGTTGTCTTGGGCCACACATAAAATACATTACGATGTGTAATCACAAAAAATCTCATAATGTTTTAAGTAAATTTAGAATTTTCTGTTGGGCTGCATTCATAGCCACCATGAGCCACATGCAGCCCGCGGGCCACAGGTTGGACACCCCTGCAAGCTTTGTGCTCTGTGTTGACCTTGGGTCCATTGTGGATGTGTAATGAGGGGTACTGTTTAGTGGATTCCATTACCTCTACATGAAAGAAACTGCAAAGTAAGGCAAGACTCCCAGACTCAGATTCCTTAATACTTTGGCTCTTCTTAAATCTATGTGAACATCCTCCCTTGGGGCCGCATGGTGACTCATTTTATGGGGAGCATCAATCAGTGATCACTCTTCTCTGATTTAGAGAAATTCCTTTATAAGAAACTTAAGGATACAGTTAGGGTTGGCTTAAAATTTTTAAATTTTTTTTTCCTGCTAAAATATCAGCCTAAATTGCAATATAAGCTGTTCCCTAAAGGTAAAGGACTAATAGTATTCCTGTTTCTTAAAACTAAACTAACTCTTTAGCTTTGGTTAAATTGCAGTTCCTCCAGTTCAGGGTAGGGAGTTGGTGCAAAAATCGAGAGTGCTTACATTGGTAACAAGTTATGGGTAATTTGAGGTAATAAAGCATCATTTGGGTAATACATTTTGAATTGTTTTTATAGGTCGAGAGATCCGTCTGCCCCTTCGAATCAAAGGGGAAGGAATGGGACCAAAGATTCACTTCAACTTTGAATTGCTGGATATTGGAAAAGTTTTTGTTGGATCTGTACATTGTTACGAGGTAAACACTAGAATTGTTCATTGAGGGTCAAATAGTATGTGGCTTGTCTTGTTTTTTGTGTGTTTTTATTGATAGAAAATTTGTGCAATCATATCCGTTTGCCATTATTCATACTTTATTCATACCCCAAAGTGATCTGACTTTCCTCTTTCCTAGCCTTGTTGAGTGGAGCAACTTTTTCCATCCTCTTCAGCCCCCTCTAACTTCACTGAAAACATCAAAGCTATAACTTAATTGGTTTTATCCTCATCATTTTGTAGATTATAAAGAGGAACTCCAAAAATACATCTTCCCATCTGTTTAATGCTTGTTCTCTGACAACATAAGTCCTACAGATCAGAGGATAGAGAACTTACATTTTCCAGAATGTCCTAATGAGGATAGCTGTTTTCACACTTCAGAATTTTCTCCAAATGCGCTAGTCTCCAATCCATGCTTTAAAAACCAGTCATTGTAGTTCTTGTCCAATTAAATAGAAAATGATACTTTTTAAAAGATGTACTAATGGGTTCAATAAGGATCAAAGTTACTTCAGTGCCACCTCATCATAAACTTGTATCTAGGATATTTTTTTACAGTCTCAGACTATAACCATTGGAATTTTATTTTAGAAAGATTCCAAATTATAAATGTTTATATTTCTATAGAGGTAATAATAAAAGTTATTATTTAGCAAGTGCTTGAGGTTTAATTAGTGTGTTAGGTTCCGTGCTTTATTATGTGTGCATATCAGTGTGTAAGGGTATAGTTTCTAATCCCTACAAAACCATGAAATGTAGGTTTTATTGTACCTACTTTACAAAGAAGGAATAGACAGATAGAGGTTATTTCTATCTAAACATCACCCTTCTTGCATGTTGCACACACCTGCATCATTTGTTCATTTAGTCCTCAGAAAACCCCTATCTATGGAGTAGCTACAATGACTATACCCATTTTATAGATGAGGAAACTGAGGCTTGGAGAAGTTTTGCTAGTTAAGTAATTAATGTTAGATACTGTAACAAACAAATACAAAAATGTATTCTCTCAAAATACATAAAAGTCTATTTTGTTGCTTATATCAAGTCCCAGGCAAGGTTGCTAATCAGCAGGTGGTTCTCCTCTAGCAGAGGATGAGGATCCCAGGCTCCTTACATTTTATGGCTCTGTGGCTTCATATGTATCTCACCGGCAGGAGAAAGGGTACAGAGAGTTGCACATGAGAGATGTTTATTGGAGGTACCACTGGAGGTGGCACACTGCACTCTTGTTCACATCCCATTAGCTGCCCGTAACTGCAAGGGTGGCTGGGAAATGTAGTCAAGCTGTAAGCACAGGAAGAAGAGGATACGGGTTCAATGAGCAGCAAACCTGACCTGCCTGCATTTGTTAAGTTGCTGACAAGGTCGCTCAGCTTTTGAATGTTAGTGAGCAGTGGGTTTTAGGGCCTTCTGTCCTGTGGGAATGCCTACTGGCTTTTCAACCTCAGGCTCTCACCATATGCAAATCCAGTCTACAGCCAGCTTAGCTCTCAGCTCAGCCTAACCTCACATGGGAGGTAAATGTGAGAGTTTTCTACAGAATAATTGTGTCCCAAACAGGATGATATGGAAGGTAAACAGAGATGTTAATGCCATGATGAGATGGAATATACATAATTGAACAATTTAAAGAAATCAGTCACATGACTGTCATAAAATAAAAAGTGTCACAGCTACTATGTTGCATTGAACTGTGTTGGAAAAAAAGTCACTTAGAGATGAAAATAAAAAGGTAAAATACTTGTTACTAAGTCGATATTCTGCCTGTAATTTATCCAGTGTGAATTTCCCTTACATCTTAGAAACTCTGTCTTATTAATGCCACATCAGAAAAGGACCTTTAGTTCTGATACAAAATGGATAGGGTTTCCCTGAATCTAATAATTTCTTGCAGTTTAACACAAATGTACTTTAGGCCACCACTTGTCTCCCTCCCAGATCTGAACAGTAAAGCAAACCACAGCCAGCTAAATAAGTGTTAAATGAGGTGCAGCATCAGATCGGACAGATTTGAGAGCTGCGCACTGGCAGAGAAGGGCATGGTAAGGTGCTTCTTATGGGACTATTTTGCACTCTCTGCATATTTATTGCTGATGCCTCATTGCATCTCTCTTTCAATTTATTACGTTACCTTCTTGAGACAAATTTGAATAACTACCTATTGCCCTTAGCCATTGCTGAGCTTAGCAGATCCATAAAGAATAAACCAGAAACCCTCAAGTATACACTCTTCCCTAGTGTAATGAGAAGGAAAACAAATGAGAGGGGGAAGTTCTCTAACAAATTTTCTCCTCTCCAAGGAGTTGCACCGCACAGGTAAGAGTATTACCAGTAATCAAAAGGTCTCAGAACTGTGGCCCGAACAATCTGGTGGATTCTGTACGCATTAGTGGTTGCTACTTTGTTAGGGGGAAAAGAATGATGTGCATTTTTTCAAGGGAAGGAGCTGGCACCTCATAGAAAATCTTGGTGAAACATTAGTGTTAACCAAAAAAATAGAAAGGCAATTGAGCATCTTCTTAGAGGGGAAAAAAAATGGTCCTTTGAGTTAATGTTTGAGTTAGTTGCCTTTGAGTTACCACTAGAGCATGTAAGTTTCTTTTTCAGCACGGGTAAATTTTAAACCCATTCTGCTTAGCATTGGGACTATAAACAGCAATCACTGTCATTTAAGTACTATTTGCCAGGCACTATTCTATAAGTTTCATCAATTAAAAATTTCATCTTCACGGCAATATGAGAAGTTATCAGTGCTTACATTTTACAGATGGGGAAAGCAAAGCAGGTTCCAAGGTCGCACAGCTAGTAAGTAGCAAAGCTGAGATTTGAATCCACAGATTTGGCTTCTATGTCCCCGGTAATAATCCCTTTTCTACATGGTCTTTTTCAAAGCAATGAAGGGTGAAACATGATTCTTATGACCAGGGAATTTAAAACAGAAAGAGGAAAAAGAGAACCAAATGTAAAGAGATGAATAAAATATCAAGTAGCAATTAGTTGTACATCTATTCTGGTGCATTGTCTATCTTCCCTTGGCAGAGTAGTTGTGTTCCTCTGCCAGAGCCCCTTACTCTGTCCTACAGTCTTAATTCCTTCCTCTGCTTTCCCAGAGGCAGACTGAGCTGGTGGATCTCCATCTCCACTGGGCCCCACTCCCTTGGTTACCTAAACTTCTTCTTTTATTCAACAACAAACATGTAGGCCAGGCACTGAATATGCATTATCTCATAGAGTGTGTGTGTGTGTATGTGTGTGTGTGTGTGTAGTTTTCTCTACCGTACCTTTCCACCGCTTTGCCACCCCCATTCTTGCTTTCCACCACTAATCTTCTCAAAACAAAATCTAGAATAGTCAACCGCTATTTCCTCTGTACCAACTCATTCTCCAAACATTTGTACTCTGGATTCTGCAATTGCATTCCATTGGAATCCTCTCTTCTTCAAGGGCAGGGATGACCTCTAATTAAAAATAAAAAATCTGGGCCATGGCCAGTGTGACTCAGTTGATTGGAGCATCATCCTATAACCAAAGGGTTGAGGGTTCAATTCCTGGCCAGAGTACAGACGTAGGTATGGTTCAATCCCTGGCCCAGGTGTGTGTGTGACCCCTGGTTTACCTATAATCCCAGGCATATGGGAGGCAACCAATCGATGCTTCTCTCTCACATCGATGTTTTTCTCTCTCCCTTCCCCTCTTTCTAAAAGCAATGAATAAAATGTCCTCAGGTGAGGATAAAAATTTTTTAAGTAAAAAATAAATAAAAATAAAAAAGTCTGCAAGATTTCCTCAGAGCTCATTCTTCTGAAACTCTGTCTACACTTAGACCCTTTCTGGAAATTCTTCTCCCTTGGCTTCTAGGTTCCTGACATGCTTCCTTTCTGAATGTTTCTTCACAATCTCCTGTGCTCTTTCCTTCAATGCTTTCAGTGTAGGTTGAGGGAAGCTTCTACACAAACAGAATGTGTTGTTCATACGTTTAGGTATAAGCATTGGCAAGAAAGATTTTGCCTCTTGGAAGCTCAGGAACAGAACTGTGTGCCCATAGGACAGGTTCGTGGACAGGAGCTGTGGGAGTGGGAGCAATAGACTGAGCCGGCTGTGGAGGACTCTGATGGCCAAGCATGAGCTTTTTACACATACCCAGCGTGCAGTCAAATATGGGTGGTCGCATGGTTCCAGAACACTAGTATATAGAAATAAAATGTTTCCATAGTAAAACAGTTGCTTGCATAAGCATAGCCAATAGAGTTCACGATGAAGATATTCCAATAGGATGAAAGCTAATACCACAACAAAGAAAATTCTTGCAATCTGGGACCCACAGTGATGTCATATTTATACTCATCAAGCTGCAGTATAAACATAGGCTTAGTTTGACTAAGCCCTCCTCTGGTCTGACTTTCTTTTTATTTTTCAGTAGGCCACCTAATCTCAGCCTCCTCATGCATGTGAGAGAAATACCTGCCTTCCTTTGGTTACTTTATAGAGAGTATTAAAAAACAGTATTTTAAGGCTCTTCTTCAGTAAATGTGATTATGATCAGATCTATAATGCACATGACTAACTTCGTTTTAAATATGAGACAAAAACACAAAATTACTTTCTGGCTTGGGACTCCTGTCTTTAAACATTCAAGAGAGAAGACTGTTCATTTCTCCCCTGGAGTTTTCCTTTGGCTCTAATTCCTGCCACTGTCTCTGTGTTGGTATTAAATAATACAGGCACATGCTTACATGAAAATAAGTCAGAGGCCCATTGTCTACCTTTTCAGCCTTGCCTTTTTATTGATGTAGGCAACACTATCCAACAAAGGCAGCATTGACGCCCTCTTTGACGTGATCTCTCCCACTTCGGCTTTGGGGGCCTGCTTTGTTTTCAGCCCCAAGGAAGGCATCATCGAACCAAGTGGAGTCCAGGCTATCCAGATTACCTTCAGTTCTGCCATCCTGGGGTGCTTTGAAGAAGAGTTCCTGGTCAATGTCAATGGGTCACCTGAGCCTGTGAAACTGACTATTAGGTAAGATATATCTGTAACTAACGTGACAACCAGCTGAACTTTTTACTTACTGCTTTCTTAAACTTCGTAACTAGATCATGTCTTAAATATCTATAAGTGTCTTTATTGCTATGAACACATCAACTTAACAGGGTGTTTTAAATTTCCGCCAGTGTTTCCCTACTAAATGTGTAATTTATTGTAACATAGACACAGATGCTATTTTGGTATCTTTTTTTTTTCTGTAGGCTGTCACATTATAAAACAAGGACTTAATCATTAAATTAGTTTCTAGTAACTTCCTCTGTTTTAGGATGTTTAGGAAGAATAAGTTTATTAACACCTGCATAAAATCATCTCTTTATTTAATCATCACAGTTTCACCAAACTTTCATCTTGTATTTTTATTTTAAGGAAATTCTTTAAATGCTGTTATCAATAATACCTACAGGTACTGTGAAAGAGTCTACTAATAGTGTCAGTCAGCCAAGGCTAGACACTTGCAGCTGTTGTGCTAGAATTCTTTTGATGGCCTCTCCAACTGCTTGTGATAATTGAAAGTCACAAATAGCAGAGTTTGCCCTCCGGTTTTAAAAAGAAATTCTCTATGACCAACCCGTTGTGGAGACCTATAACTTCAGTTCCCAGTGCTTAGAAAGATAATATTTTCAGAACATATTGCCGATCCTATTTGGATTCCCACAGCAACAGGTTGCTAATTACCATGGGTGTCTCTTTCATTATGGTTACTGCTCTCAGGACCTCTCTCCATCTACAGCTGAGGCCTCCTTCAGGATCTGAAGATAATATAGAAAGGAAACAGACAAATATGGCCTCAAGGACCCTAGAAAAACTTAATGATCTTAGGATATCCACCAGAAATTCAAAATCTCTACATCAGCTCAAAGGTTATTACCATTTCTCCTCCAGTCATTCTTCCACCTAAGTATCCCTGTGAGGGGTGAATCGCATCCTCCCAGAATTCATATGTTGAAGTCCTACCACTCAGTACCTCAGAATGTGACTGCACTTAGAGAACTTTTAAAGAAATAATTAAGGTAAAATGAGGTCATTTGGGTGGGCCTAATTCAATCTGACTGGTGTCTTTGTAAGAAGAGGCCATAAGGACAAATATACAAATAGGAAAAGACCATGTGCAGACTCAGAGAGAAGACAACCATCTGCAAACCAGTGAAGGAGCTTCTCAGAAGAAACCAGTCCTGCCAATATATTGATCTTGGATTCCAGCCTACAGGACTGTAAGGAAATAAATTTCTGTTGTTTAAGCTACCTAATCTGTGATACTTTGTTATGTCCCCCCTTGCAAACCAATAGAAACCCTAAAAAGTAAGGAAAATTAATAGTTACATGTCTCAAGGGTTCTCTGCTATAGCTTAGACAGCCTGCTACAATCATAAACTTTTTTTTTAAGTCTCGAGACTTACCCGAAACATTCAAAAGGCAGTTACATTCTCTTCCATAATATATATGTATTTGTGATAATAGAAAAAATTGGAGTTGCTTTCCAAATACTGAATAACATTGATTCTTCAAGGAGATGCACCATAGTTATCCTGGCTCATGATTGATGTCCTTCAAGGATGTGTGGAATATGAAAAGGACAGGAGTACTTTTTCCCATTATATGAACTTCTCACCTCCATAACAATTCAGGTGTCATGACAAGCAGTAGAGATGGTTGTCTGGAGAAGCAGGAAGAGCAAACCTCCAAATGCAGTGTTTATCTCCCATTGAGAGATCATCTGGTCCCTTAAGGGCCCCCTGTAAGCTCCAGCAGATCAGCTGTTGAAAGCCCCCAACTGAATCAAGACTGCCTGACTTCTTGGCATCAGGAAGCATTGTTCAGAATCATGACTGCCCTCCACAACCCCAGCATCATGGACAGGTTTCCACACAAAAGTGGGGAAGAGAAAACCTTAAAGCTCTGCTCTTTTAAACATTTAAGGTCAAAAGGAATAATGGCTCTATCTGTACATAAGAAAGTATAGGTTGTTAAAGGACCATAATTTTACTTCTCATGTAGACAAAGAAAAAGCAAAATGCTGGCTGAGACATGCTAACTTGTCCTTGAAGTTGAATAAAAAAGCTCAGCCCAATTTCATCTGGCCATTCTTCATTTTAAGTTCAGCCTAATAATTAATACTATAACTATCAACAAGAACATATTGCTACTCTCTTTACAAATAAATGTGTATTTTGAATATTTATTTAATAAACTCTTATGGAGCACCTCCTACATGCAAGGTTGTTTATTAGGTGCAGTGACTGGTGAATTTGGGTGTGTTAGACATTCCTGTTGCATGAATCCTACTGTCTTAACCTTTGAGTTGTTTATCTAAATTCAGGCTGTGATTGCTCATTCCCTAAACTGTTTCCTAAGCTAACTAAAAAATATAGTTAAATAAATAAAAATAAACAAATTAAAAGACTAAACTAGATAAGACTCATTTAACACAAAGGAGGGTGATAATAGAGGGATAGAGGAACAAAAAACATACATTAAAACATATAGAAAACAAATAGTAAAATGGAAGATATGAATATTATCAGAAATTACATTAAGTGCAAATATATTAAACACTTCAATTAAAAGGTAGAGATTAGCAGAATGGATTTTTCAAAATCCCCACAAAACATGATCCAACTATTTGCTGTCTGCAAGAGACATACTTTAGATCTGAAAGTATGAATAGATTGAAACTTAAAAAGGTGGAAGAAGATAGACCATGCAAACAGTAACCAAAAGAAACCTGGAGTAGGTATACTAATACCAGGCAAAATAGACTTTAAAATAAAAATTGTTACTTGAGACAAGAAAAGACATTTTACAATAATAATGTCTTTTATTGTAATGTGCACCTACCAGCAGAGCCCCAAAGTACATGAAGCATAAAGTGACAGAACTAAAGGGAGAATAGGTAATTCAATGATAAGAATTGGAAGTGTCAATACCCCACTTTCAATAATTGTAGAACAACTGGACAGATTATAATGAAGGAAATAAGAGAGTTGAACAACACTATAAACCAGCCTGACCTAGCAGACACCTACAGAACCCTCCACCCAGCAAGTGCACTTGGAACATTTTCCAGGATAAACAATATGTTAAGCCATCAAACAAGTCTCAGTAAACTTTAAGTGATTTGAATCATACAGAATGTGTTCTTCAGCCACAAAGAAATGAAACTAAAAATCAAAAAGAAGGAAATTTAGGGAGTTCACAAATACATGAAAACTAAACACACTCCTAAATTACCAGTGGGTCAAAGAAGGAATCACGACAGAAATTTTAAAATATTTTGAAATAAATGAAAGCAAAACAGAAGATGTTAAAACTTTTCAGATGTAGTAAAAGTAGTGTTGATAAGAAATTGATGACTGCAAGTGCTTATATTTAAAATGGAGAAAAATCTTAAATTAATGATTTAAATTTCTACATTAAAAACTTGAAAAAGGAGAGTCAAATAAATCCAAAACAAGCACAAGGAAGGAAAGAATAAAGATTAGACTAGAAATTAATAAAATAGCAAAACCACAGAGAAAATGAATTAAACTGAAAGTTGGTTCTTTGAAAAGATCAACAGATTGACACACTTCAGTTAAACTGACCAAGAAAAAAAATGGAAAGAATTCTTAAATTACTAAAATCAGGATTTAAAGAGGGGCATTAATATCAACCTTACAGAAATAAAAAGGATTATTAGGGAACGTTATGAACAATTGTATGCCAACAAATTAGTTTATCTAGGTGAAATGGTCGTGTTCCTAGAAAGACACAAACTATCAAAACTAATTTAAAAGAAATAGAAAATATGAATAAACCTGAAATAGAACTGCCACCACTACCACCCACCCCCTGCCCTGACACACACAAGCAACCCAGGGACAGATGGCTTCACTGGAGAATTCTACTGAATGTTTAATGAAGAATTAACACCAATTCTCTACAAAATATCTTCTCCCCCCTCAAAAGAAAAAGGTGTGAACACTTTCCAACTCTTACCAAAACCAGATAAAAACGTAACAAGAAACTGAAGACCAGTAACTTCTACAAATGTAAACACAAAAATTTTTGAAAATACTAGCAAACCAAATCAAGCCAGCAATGTATAAAAAGGATTATACACAATGACCAAGTAGAATTTATCCAAGGAATGAAAGTGTGGTTCAACACAGGAAAAGCAATGTTATACAACATATTAATAGAATAAAGGCCCAAAACCACATGATCCTCTCAATAAACATAGAAAAAGCATTCACCAAAATTAAATACCCTTTCATGATTTAAAAAAGTAAACAAAAAACAACCACCTCAACAAATTAGGAATAGAAAGGAATTACCTCAATATGGTAAGGAGTATCTGTGAAAAACCCTCATTTAACATTGTACTTAACAGTGAAAGACATGTTGCTTCTCACTGAGGTCAGGAACAAGACAAGGATGTCTGCTGTAGCCACTTCCATTCGACATTGTCCAAAAATAAAATTTATATGTTTATGGTCAGTTTATTTTTAGCAAGGGTGTTCAGACAATATCAATGAGAGAAAAGATAGTTTTCTCAACAAATGTTGCTGGAATATTGGATATCCACATGCAAAAGAATGAATTTGGGCCTCTGCCTCTCACAATATACAAATTAATATAAAATGGATCAAAGACCTAAATACAATAACTAAAACTATAGAACTGTTAAAAGATAATGTAGGTTTGATATGCATGATGTTGGATTAGGCAAAGATATCTTAAATATGACACCTAAGTACAAACAATTATGAATAAATAATAAATAAGACTTCATGAAAATTTAAAAAATTTTGTGCTATAAGAACACTGTCAAGAAAGTGACATGACAGCCTACAGAATGGGAGAATGTATTTGCAAATCATGTATCTGAAGAGGGACTTGTATCTAATATTTCTCATATAAAGACCACTTACAACTCAATTGTAAATCGTAGACAAAACAATAAAGCGAGAACTCAATTAAAAAATGGACAAATTCGAGCAGATATTTCTGTAAAGAAGATATACAAATGGCCAATAACACATGAAAAGACTCAACATCATTAATCATCAGGGAGATACAAATCAAAACCACAATGAGATACCACTCCACACCAAATTAGATGGCTATAACTTAAAAGATGAAAAATAACAACTGTTGGTGAGATTATAGATATCAGAACCCTTATATGCTGAAGATGGAAATATAAAATATTACATCCACTTTGGGATACACTCTGACAGACCTTCAAATAAGTAATCGTTGAGTTATCACATAACCCAGCAATTTCATTCCTAAATGCAAGAAAAATAAAAACATATCCACACAAAAACTTATACATGAATGTTTATAGCAGCACTATTCATAGTAGCCAAAAGGTGGAAATAATCTAAATGTCTATCGACTGATGAATAAATAATCAAAAGGTAGTACACTGATGCAATGGGATGTTATTAAGCCAATAAAAAAAGATGAGATAAGAATGAAGAATGTACAACATGGTACAATGGATGAACCTTGAAAATACTATGACAAGTGAAAGAAGCCAATCACAAAGGCCATATTATTATATAATTCCATTTATAGGAAATGTCCAGAAAAGAAAATCTATTTAGATAGGAAGTAGATTAGCGGTTAGGGCTGGGGAGTGGGGGATCGAGGGTGATCGCTAAAGGGGATGGGGTTTCTTTTTGAGGTGATGAAAATGTTCTAAAATTGACCATGGTAATGGTTGCACATATATGTAAATATATCAAAAGTATTGATATATACCATTTAAGTGAGCAAATTGTATGGCACATGAAATTATATTTCAATGAAGCTGTTTAAAAAAAAATTCCAGAAGTCTAATATTGAATAATAAACTCTGCCATTTCTTGGGTGATTTTTAAAAATATCCAATCTTTTCTCCTTCAATATCCCAAACTAGCATTGCATGTCAATAGCTGTGTCTAAATAGGTTAAGATGTTTTGGGGTTTTCCATTGTGAATAATAGGATTTAAGAATCTCCCAGGAACCTACTCACAAGTGAACTTGGACTAGTTAATACTCCAGGTGCTCTGTGGAGGTTAAGTCTCTCATTTTATCATATGGACATTACCACTCGCCCAAACTCCCATGCCACTTTGTTATTTTAGATGTTTATTATTGTTTTCTTTCAAAGGGAAGGAAAACCTGACTGTGGAAAGCATGTTTATATTCATCCTAAAACTAATCACAAATTGATAAGAGAAATAGTCTTGTCGAAATTGCATGTGTCCAAAAGCATTCTAGCACTTCACACCACAAACAATAATTTTGAAAACTGGATAACTGTCTGGTGTCGTCAATAAATGCCTAATGATAAAGAGTGAAATACATGTATATTATATTATATATCCTCAGCTCCACACATTAATACTGACTTCACCAGGAACACTGTCTTGAGCCCTTTGGCCCAAGAAATCTCTGTAAAGGTAATATTGTGAATTCTGGATTTTGTTTTCTATTCTTTTATCATTAGGTATCCTCTGTCCTTAATGCTATATAATTTTGGCTAGTATGCCTCGAAAGATTGGAACAACTATACTTTTGCTGTTTCTATTTACTCTTCAACTACATGACAGAGTATTTTAAGTGGTTGGATAACCATTGTAAAATTGATTTAAAAAATGGTGATTTAAAAAAAATTACCCATGTGCAGGGTTTTCCCTCAAATTTTTACATAGATAATTTTATAAGTTTTAACCATAGCACAGACATTTTGTCTTCAAAATATTTCACTTAACATGTCATACTAATTCAATCATTCTAACTCTTAGTCTTTATAATTTTAACAGACCAAGTGCATTGATGGAGGGCACAGTCTTGGTAGAGACTGTCCTAATTCAGAATCCCTGTTAGAATGAATGTGACAGTATTTAAGTCCAGATGGTATTCAGCCAGTTCCCTTAGTTATATGTGCCTTTGAACAAATGTGATTTAACTCTGGTTCTTTCTATTTCACTGATTAAATGACTGCTTTGTGCAAATTTGTGAGCTTCTTCCTTACTTCCTTTAGCCTTTTGTGCCTTTTAGACACTTTTGATCTGTTATTTTGGAACCCTCCTCCCCGCAAGAAAACCTTTTCTTACAAGTCAATATCTAACCAGTAGGCTGGTTTGACTTCATTCTCAGCAGGACTCCAATTCCTTGCAGAGTGCCAGCCGTCCCTTTTGAAACCACTTTGGATCATTAGCATGAAATAGAATAGATGGTCCTGAGAAAGGCTTTTAGAATTGAAAACTTGCTGCATTGAGCCTTTGCTGTCATGGCTCTTCCCACACTTGCGACAGCCTCTCACCACATGATAGTCAGATCTGTGGCAGCCAGAAGTATTGCTAGGGCCCCAATGCAATCAGCATGCTCTGACACACCTACATCACCAATATCGGAGCTGGGTGAGTAAGGGTACTCGTATTTATGCTTAATGTGTTTGCTGGTGATCCAGAGGCTATACGATCTATTACAGGCATACTTCATTTTATTGCACTTTGCTTTATTGTACTTAAAGATGTTTCATTTTTTGTTTGTTTGTTTACAAATTGAAAGCAAGACCCTTCTCCAGTAAAAAGATTACAAATCACTTTATTGTGATACTTGCTTTATTTCGGTGGTCTGGAACTGAACCCACAGTATCTCCAAGGTTGGCCTGTATTTATTTTAAACTAAAGCATCACCCCAAGATCATGAGGCCTTGCATTGAGAGAGGTAGACCCACATTCAGAGTAAAGAGTCCCTAAAAGTCACCTATTTCAGACCTGTCTTTTATACCTGAGGAAAATAACCTAAAGCCTATAAACGAAAAGTGACTGGCCAACAGTTCCTACTACCAACTGGCTAGTAGGTAGTAGGAACTGTTAACCAACCACTGGGATAGACCATCATCTCTTAGGCTTTTTTTTTTTTTTTTTGGTTAAGTCCAAGGTTCTATAATTGATATAATGCCAAATTACAGTTTTTAGTACTGACCATCTCCCCAGTTGCTAACTGTTACCCTTCATTCACTGGGTCCTCTCCGCACCCTCTCCTTGTCCTCCGATTTCCAGAGGCTGTGTCATCGGGCCCACCTTCCACTTTAATGTTCCCGCTCTGCACTTTGGTGATGTTTCCTTTGGTGAGTATTTTTCTGCTTTAAATATAAAACAGAGAAGAACTACTTTGCTCAACATGGGAGGAGGAAGGTTTACAAAGAATCTTACTATTTTTTTATGGGTAATACTAAGAGGATCTACAATAATTCTTCTACAATGTGGCAGTGGCATTTTGGTGCCATTTCCCAGTTTTCTGTATGTAAGTTGTAATTGTGTCCTGGGCACTGACAGTTGTCAGGCTGCGTGTGTTCCCCTCTTCCAGCAGTGGAACAACAATAAACCTTATGCTTCATTCCACTATCTAAACATTATGAACATTCTATTTATGTGAAGATTCTGATTTGCCAGTCTGGCTACAAGCAACCTTTTCACAGAGATGCTCTCAAGTTCAAAGTGAACTCAGTTGTAGTTTGGGTCAGGTGTCTTATCACTCCAGATTGAAGATTTTTCTGTATTTTTGCGTTATCTTCTCACTCGGTTAGTTCTCTAAGTTATTTTCTTCCATCTAAGCTTCCCCAGTAATAAAAATTGTAACAACAGTAGCAGCACAAATTCTCATTTATTGGTTCTTCTATATATTCCTATCACTGCTTAGTGGGTTACATGCAGCACTACATTTAAACCTTTTAGCAATCCTATGGGGAAGTGCTATTTAAGACCCCCATTTTAGATTTGGAAGAATTGAACACTGAACAGTTAAATAACTCCCTAAAGTGACACAGCAGTGGCAGGATTAGCATTTTAATTGAGGTGTATTTAAATCACTACTGTTGGAACAAGTGATATTGTCCCTAAAGAGGCAAAAAATTTCAACCTCTAAGCTTCTTAGCGGTTGAAAAACAATTTAAATATGACAATGGTTTGTGGTCCCGAGAGTTCAACCCTACCCAACAGAATCTGATTCCTTAATATTTAATTTCTCCCTAAGGGTCTAATTTAAATCATATTAAATATAATTGATTTGATTTGATTCAAAATTAATTTATCACAGTGGTTCTTTTTAGAGGCGATAATTTTTAAAAGGTTGAAAACCCCTAGTTTAAATCCATACTCCACAATCCTTTCCATTTTGCTCTTTTGCCTCCCATTTTGACTTTTAGTTCTTTTGCTTCTACTTGGGGGAAAAATAGTTCTTTAGAAAAAGCTGATAAATAATGCGTTTATCAGCTGCTTTAACATTCGAGGGTTATGACAGTTTTATTTATTCAGAACATATTTATTTATACAGTGCCCCCCATCTACATTATATGGGTAAGGTACATTCTATAGGAAAATCTATATAAATGAAGTTGAATATATGTTTGTTACTATAGAATATGAAAATGGCTGGAGAGAGTTTTACAAATTTGTAGGTTCTGTTTGAGTGATAGACTCTTTTGAAGGAAAATAAAAGTGACCTTCAACTTGAAAATCATCTGGTGGTCAACTAAGAAAGGCATACTCTCTCAAGGGTGACTGTGACAGATGCACAATAGGAAGTGAATTAGTATACCCAGACCTATGCAGTCATTCTCCAAATAGTTCAGACTGAGTCCACAGCAAGGGCTGGGCAACTGATGCATGACAACAGCATATCCTTCCGTAGGCATTTAGATACAAAGTCCGGCACAAGGACATTTGGGAAATGTGCCCTATATCATATTGCTCTGGAGTGAAAAAAAACAAAGTGCAAATAAGCACCTCGAATCAATTACTTCAAGAAATTTCATACTGATTCATGATCCAGAATCTGTTCTTTTGCTCAGCTCTGCGATGGTAATGTAAAATGCTGTATTAATGATAAGCCAATAGCTGTTTGTCATACTTGGTCCAACAAGAAGTTTTGATAACTAGCTTTGGTGAAAATTAGAAACATCTTATTTTTGTTTCTTGTATAATGTTTTATTGAGCCGTTTGATGATACAGCAACTAGGCAAGAGGCTGGAACACAATATATAACCATGACCCAAGGTTTCCCAAGTCTGAGATCTGAAAACTCATTCCTTCTAAATCCACCTTCAAAACCCAAGTTGTATTTCTTTTTAGTTTGGATATAAATTCCTTTATTTTCTGTAGTGTGGCAGGAAATGTTAACAAAAACATACCTTTTTTTCTTGCCAACAGGAAATCTAGGTTATTTGGTTTCAAAACCACTTGGGTCAATTAATTTAAGCTACTTTTGTTATGCTTCTAGATTTTTCACTGTAATAACCAAAATTAGAGATAATTTTGTGATACCCTTTCAAAATTGTTTTATGATATTTTCAAATCCCAAAGTTGGAACCAGAGTCCTCAACACAAAGTCTCATTTTCCAGGTAGTTTGACTTCCCCTCACAAAGAAACACAGTCTGTTGGACAGTTATTTATTGGAAACTTTTAATTGTTACCTGTATGTGCAACTAGGGCTTTGATGAGGTAGATAAAAGTAAGCATGTCATTGGCTTGGGAATGAAAGATCAATAGGGTGCATATAGTTCCAGATGCAAAAGAGAAATTGACTGTTACAGGAGTAAGCCAGGAATTGGAGGAATTTTTTTCTTTTAGTTATTTCAGGATGACAGGGATATTCTGTGGAGTTAAATAAGGTTTGCTTTTGAGCTTGGGAATACATGAAACTAACTAAGGTCGATAATATTGTCCCTATATTGATATTAATGCCCATTCCTGAAGAGGTGTCTGTGATAGGTTAGTGTTAGAGATGAAAATCTAGATTTGGTATAAGGGTCTATTAGGATTGAAGTTGTTAGGTTATTATAATTGCCATAAAGTTGGTTGGTATCTAAAATATTTGAAGTATGGCTATAAAGATTTTTGATGATAGGATTAGAAGTTGCATGACATATCTAATAATTAGGCTGACTGAAGCTACAATAGCATGAGAGTCAGATTGTAGAATTTGGGTGGCAGTTGTCCCTGAAGGAACATTGAGGCTTTGATAAACTGGATTGAGCAAAGGATGAAATGGACTGTGTAACCATTGATATGCCAGGTGATGGAACAAAGGGACAGGGAAGTATCTGTAAAGTCACTATTTTTCAGGAGGCACAAGAATGTGTTGGATTGAGAATAAGGAGTTTTGAAGGCTCCAAGCACTCAGTCTACTTGACAATTGGATCATTTTGACTGAGAAGCTGTAGGGTTTGAGGGCAGAGTTGCTGGGATATATATAAGCATTAAAAAAAAAAAAAAGGCATGATAGTTGTCTCTTCCATGGCCTAGGTATGAACTGTCACTATTTTACTCAATTATTTAAATTGACTTTAGGAGGGTGTAAAATAGAGAATTAAGGACAAAGCTTAATTGTAATGATCATAAAAAGATCTTAGAAAGATTGGCAGAAGAGATCATAGTAGGCACGAGCAAAACCCAGACCCAAGCAACTTATCATTAATAAGAGAGACATAACAAGAGATATAATTATATAACTTTAAAATAGTAAATAGAGATTAATATGGCCAAGTGATAAAGAAGGAAAGTAATGAGAATCAGTAATGTCAGACACCTAACAAAATCTTGTTTGACAAGTTTTGGGCAAAACCCTCATGTAAAAATTGGTTGTTCTGAGGAGCCTGGAATAGCAATCTCTTTCTGTAGGTCATTCATTTCTGGAAGTTTTATTAGTAAACTTTCCCTCAAGATCTCCAGTAAGAATGTTTTCTGCAGGTCTTCAGCCAATAATAATACAGTTTCTTTGGGCTTTTTTTTTTTTTTTTTTAACCAAAGGTCCACCATATAGTTAACCGCAGGGTCAGTGAAGCCTCTAAAGACTGAATGCATTATTGGTATATTTTTTTCTGAGTACTCATTGTTGAGGTTGAAAAAAGGGAGAGCTCCTGAGACTGAGTTTTTAGGGAAGACTTCTAGAACTTACAGATTAATTGGTTCTTGACAATATTTAGTTATGCCTGCATGAAGCAAGCTTGATTCGGACTGGTAAAAGACTTGTAATTACATGGATTTTCTAGTTTTTGTTTTCTAAAGTGAATAGTCTGTGAGTTCCAGGGGAAGTTAACTGGGTCTGATGGACATTAGAACTAAAGATAAAACTCTTCACCAAAGAACTCCAAGAGCCTCAGAGAGCTTAGCCAGTTTCAGATTGATAATACTGTTTTTATGTTCTACATTTCCCAGGGATTGTGGATTATTAAATTTTTGATCAAATGGTTAACACTGTAAGTTTCTTTACAATTCTTCTGGGTAAGGCTGCTATTCCCCAGGGAGGAAAGTTATAGTGTACAACTTTTTAGTCACATTTATGGCAGCAGCTTTTCTGTACAAGGAGGCTCAAATCCATCTAAAGAGTTTGCAGACAATTTCAAGAACATATTCTTAAATATATCATTTGGGCACAGCCCATTTTTATTTGAAAGGTTTTCTGGAGTATGATTTAGACTGCACAGATTTTCTGGAATATGATATCTATCTACAGAGGAGAAATTTTCCCATCAACTCTTGCTCAGAGATGATATTATCTTTTCTATAATGGGACCTATGATTTTCGTCAAAGGCCAGCTTGGACTTTGGGGCATATCACAGTTGGTGTGTCAAAGACTATAGAAGTGGACAGAGGATCCTGATTTGGGAAATGTTTGTTTTTCTAAGTCTGAGATTGAGTTTTTTATGTCCAAACTGGCTTGTGCAAATCTGTTTATTGAAATCCCATTTTCTGATTTATTTCTATAGACAATTATAAAAGTAATACTTGTTTCACACGATGATCTGCCAACACATTTCTCTTTGCTTTATGGAGATTTTTATTTTACTTGAAAAATTAGGAGTCCATTGTCTAAAATATCCCATGTGTCCCCCAAAGTTTATGAATTGGAATTTAACTTTTGGTCCTAGGTATTACTGAAACAATTTAACACTCTCCTTAGCTTAGTCCCATGCTTAGTTCCATTCTTTACTAGAATGATCATGTTCTAAATAATGTACCATCTTTTGTCAGAATTAAAACTTTTCCTTTGCAGCCTTATGATCTTTCCTCCTAGTTTCTTTAAATCTTCTTAGGGGCTTTCTGGGTCAGGTGAAAATATGTGTATTAAGTGAGAATCAAATCTCTTGAGAATATTGTCCTTTAAATCAAATTTAAGTACTGGGAGAGGAAGGAATGTGCCTCTGTGAATCTTTGAGGCATTCTGGACAAGCATGTTGTTAATTATTCCAGGAAATGTTGAGTTTTTATAAACTAGTTTTTATATGCATTTTTTCTCACCTCACAGATGCTAAGGAAGGGAGAATAGAGTACTTGGAGTATACTACAATATAAAGTATACTACAGTATAAAATACTTGCATTCAGATGAGACTACAGACAGAATAGTATTAGGATTTGGTGCTATAAGAAATCTAGGAATAACATTCATATTAATGTGCCTTTAGTCTTCAACAGCATCCCTTTCCTTTAGGCTTCTTGACAAGCAACATTACAGGTAATAATACAGTAATTATTCTACCTAGGAGGTTATAATTGGCTTTATTCTAAGAAAAACAAAAAGCTTCAGGGAAGTAGTCTGAGCAATGGTTTGGAAGAACCCATCTGAGTCTTTATAGGACCCGCCTCCATAATATGTACGCCTACACTAGAAGAGTGTTTATCCCATAAATGGTCAGGTGAAATCAGGGTAAGGAATCTACAGTTTTAAGAGTCAATATTGGGAAAGTTCAGAAAAGTCAAAAATAGCAATTACATGATTGTGGAACTGACTTTCTAGCAGTTCCTGTGCAATTTCCAAGAATAATATTTTAAGTGCACTTAATCAGATCATTCTTTTTCCATTAAAGCGTTCTTCCAAGTAGACTGGCAGGCATGATACTACATGAACGTGTTTCCTCTATAGTCCTATTGTGTAGACAAAGGCTCGGACGTGGGGAGAGAAGTAGATCAGTTCAAAATACCCTCTGCAGTACTGCAGTAATTACTCCAAGACCAGTTGTATAATCTTGCAGTAGGGTTCAAAGTAGAGAGAGTAGTGTTTGCATCCAGTAGAAATATGCATATTTGTTCTCTTATGGCTATAGGTAATTCTTCTGAAAGTGGTAGCGGATACAATGGCCACTTAGGGAATCCAAAATCAGAGCTCAGTTTATTGCTTACCAGGCAATGAGAACCCACATCTCTTGGGAAAGCAACATGAGTCTCACTGAACTGAATATAGGAGGGCTAGATATCACAGGAAAAAGCAGCTTTATCTAAGGGAGGGAAAAGCCAGCTTGTTAGTCTCTGGCTCAGAAAGGGATCGCAAAGCTTCTCTCGGCAGAGCTATTACTCGGTTTTATGTCATCGACCCTGAGGGCATGAGCCTCAGACAGGTCCAGAATGACTTATATAACGTCTGGGCAGGCTCTGGGTCACACAGCGGGCAAAACCACACAGGTTTCTCCTTTCACACATAGGCAAATATAAAGAACAAACATTATTCTATTTGGGGGAAAATGTTGTATTTCTGCAAAAATTAAATGCAAAATATACTTCTAGAAGACTGTGCAGCAAACTGATAATAGAAGCTGCCTCTTAGGAGGGACCTGGATGATGATTTTATGTCTATTGTTGCTACATAGTAAATGCATAATAAGTATTCACTGAATTAATGAATGAGTAAATGAATGAAATGTATTTATTGATTTACAATTGAAAACAACATCAGAAAGAGTTAGAATTAAGCAAGTAGTGCTGAATTGCCTAGACAATTTATTTAAGAGGTTTAGCAGTGCTAGGGGAGATTGATGTGAAAGGGAGGCTATTGTGGGGTTTTTATTTCTTGCCTCATATTTTGTTTTTCAGGGTTTCCTCATACCTTGATATGTTCCCTCAATAATACTTCCTTGGTCCCCATGACCTTCAAACTGCGTATCCCTGGGGATGGTGTTGGCCATGAAAGTGTTTCAAATTGTGAGCAATATTCAGACAACAAAAGACCTTGGAACAAGGATGAAATACCCATAACGAAACCAAAAGAATTCACCATCACCCCAAACTGTGGCACCATTCGCTCCCAAGGATTTGCTGCTATCAAGGTAAAGCGCACAGCCTTCCAGTACACAAGGCCAAGCAGCTGAACTCTCAAATAGCTGTTAGGACCACACCTAGGGTATGCTGTATATGCCTAGTATCTGTGGGAAGGAGTGCCTCCAATTCACATGGGAAAGTGGGCCTATAAGGAAATCAACCACTGTGACAAAAAGAACCAGGTATACATATATTGGACAAAAGAGCTGATACCATTCCAGTGTATTCCCATCAGTCTCAATGTGTTGCCTTCCCCAGAAGAGTGGGTTGTAGTGATTTCTAGTGAAACCACTGCTCTATATGGATAGTACACCTTTCAGTACAGATATAAACTGATTTTAGGACTCACTGATCATTAGGTCCTCCTTTCTTTAAGGCTCAGATTGTTTATACCAATAAATGTCCACATTTATGCCACAGATGACATCCAGTTTATTCATACTTTTAATCTGGATCTGGGCTTCATAGTGAATGTGGATATGATGTTATTTAGGTCCATAGCATGATGCTTTGGTTATGGCTTTGCAGTGCCATCAGCAGAACTATTTCATGGCTAACTGAGGAAGGTTTTACTGTCTTTACTCCCTTACTTTTTCTTCTCCTGTTAGATTTAGCAATATTGAAGGTTGCTAAAGTGAAATGATTTAATCTTTTCTGGGAAAGAAAAAAAAAGATAAGACTTACTAACTAAGGTTGTTAATTTTCTCTTTAGTCATCATCTGTGAATATTTAATTCAGCTATGGTTTTATTCCCCCCAAATTGTTTTTAATGCTTCATAATATCTCACCATGAATCCACTCATCCTAAATCTTTTCTGGAAGTTTTTAGCTCTTTCAAAGGCTTCTCCACAGGTCCAATGAGGTTTGAGATCATATATTGTTATCACTTCCAGGTTGCTATCTCAGTCTATTTTGTCTGCTCTTATAAAATACCTGAAATTGGGTGGCTTATAAAGAACAGAAATCTATTTCTTGCAATCTGGAGGCAGGAAGTTGAGATCAGGGGGCCAGCATAATTGGGTTCTCGTGAAGGTATCCTTCCAGTTTGCAGACTACTGACTTCCCCTTATATTCTCACATGGTGGAAGGGGCCAGGGAGCTCTGTTAGCCCTGTTTTATAAGGGTACTAATACTGTTCATGAGGGCTGCACCCTCATGATACAATCATCTCCCAATGACCCCACCTCCTAATGCCATCACATTGGGGGCTAGGATTCAACATAGAAATTTGTGGGGGATACAACCATAAAAAAACATATCATATCGGTTGCCAACTGTGAATTTCCCAGGGAGAAGTGCTGCTGCATTGAACTTATTTATTTTTTTATTAATTAACACTCAGCCTACATGTTAGCTATCTTTCCCTTTTTTTTTTTTTTTGCGCCTTTCCCACATAGAAAGATGAGAAGATATGGGTCTATCTAGCAGCCTTTGCCAGAACCACTTGTTCTTATTCCTTCTAACCATAGCTCACAGACATAAACGAGGGTTAGAGTCACTCTAGGAATCCACACCCTAGGGCAGCTGCTTCTTTCCAAATCTGACATGTTTTCTTTCCAAATCCAAGACCCCATCTTCATTTTATTTTTCCTTTGTATTTGGAAAAGCTTTCTCCAAGCTTTAATTTTCCCTCATGATCTGTACACCAACCACGTCTCTGTAGACTCAAATTTGCATCCAGAAATTCCCTTTGTAACCAAAAAATTTAATTAGTACCTGATACATAATTTATAGCTAGAAAAGCCTTAACCTGTGCCAGAAGCTGTTTTCTAGACTTTCAAGTATCTCTTCCAGTACAAGGCATTGTAAAGCAATTAAAAGTTGCAACAAGGCTTCAAAAGCCTGAAAGTAATGTTTCACAACAGTAAATAAAAATACAGAGTTGAAATATACTGGCCAGATATTGTCCTTGGATAGAACTTTCTTTGAAGTTTCCTATTTTCTTCTCTAATACTGAATATGGGGGCAGGGGACTAGATTTTGATTTTAAAAAAAGACTAGTTGACTTCTTATGCCATTCTCTGCAATTGACATGGTTATGTCATTTATTTTGCTATAAGAGAAATTTAGCTGTAGTGTTTTATTGGTGTATTGAATTTTCATAATTTATATAGCCCAGAGGGAATATTGCTCATCCTTCAAGGCCATTTTGCTCCTTATGTAGGCATACAGCTTCTTTGATAACAATGTCCTCAGAAATGAGCACACCTATTGTATTAAAGCCATTTGGCTTCTAACCTGGCCAAACTCAGCATGCCCTTTGAAAAAACTTTGAAAAAACTCAGCATGCCCTGACCCTGATATGTAACTTGTTCAACTAAAAATGTAAAATGCCATATCCCATAATAAAGTACTCAGAAGCCACACTCATCAGTATCGTTGTCCTCTGGCTCCTTTCTCCCCTCTGCAGAGGGAGAGCTGGGCTTATAGAAGAGCAGCTTTCACCTTTTTCTTTCCAGGTGACCTTATGCTCCAACACTGTGCAGAAATATGAGCTGGCCCTGGTGGTGGACGTGGAGGGCATTGGGGAAGAAGTGCTGGCGCTCCTAATTACAGCAAGGTATCACACTCACCTGCTTCTCTCTTCCCAGTCTCCCCTGAGCTGCCAGTGTGGGTAGCCTCTTGTCCTGCTTTCCCAGGAAGGGAGACTGATTCTGATTGAAATAACAAAGCTTTAAAACAGCAAACGCACCTTTGGTGGAGATAAGAGAAGGGATGTGTGTGTTTTGTGGTATGAAGAATAATAGTGCTCTCTATTTTTGACTTTCTGACTTTGAAGGTATAGAACTAAAAAGGTTTTAGCAGAAAGATGTGAACAGTAGCTATTTTTTATTTTTATCTTCAAATACAGTACTGCAGAGTTATTCAGCAGAAAGAGTGGTATTCACAATTCTGCAGTGTAAGATCCGTTTAGCGAGACAGTCCTGTTCCAGGCTGCAAGTGGGCCCTCCATGAGGCCATCTCTAACAATGTAAACTCCTCGGAACCATCACCAGCTTCTCTTTCTTTTAAAGAGACAGCAATGGGCTCTGGGGTGAGGGTAAGAATCTGGCTTTTTTGGATGACTGTGTTTCCTTGACCAAGTTAACAGTCTTTCCAAGGGTGGTGTGTCACCTACTGATGATGACAGTGATCCTAATCATGGACCACATGATTGTCAAAGCAAACAAGTCTCCAGATTTAGAACTTCAGAGTATATATATGCCATCTAAAGGAAATAGAGAAAACTTCTAATTAATATATCAATTCCTAGAATTTAGGTCTGTAGTGAATCTTAGGAACATGCATCTTAAAGAAGGTACAGATATGCTAGTTGGTGGGGCCATTATAACATGCACTACTACATGAGCCTTGGGCTTGGATGAAGTCAGAGAGCATCTCTAAGAGAGCTTCAAGGTCAAGCCTTTGTCATGATCTACTTACTTAGTATTCCTTCCAAAGACCTAATTTTTTTGTTTGTTTAAAAAATACACAGTCTTTCATCTGGTTCTCTCTACATCCAAGTTTGCCTTTTTGTCCCTTCTTGCATTTTTCTATGTGGATTTATTCTAATAATTTCCAGCCTCTTCTCCCTGCAGCTATCCTAATTTTTTTTTTAAAGAAAGGTCCTAAGAGGCTATTAGTTTCCTACCACATCTGCTCTGTGACCCAAGTCAAGTACTATGTACCCTCTCAGCCACAGTGTTTCAGGTAGTAAAGTATTAGTTTTAGGAAAGTCACTGGGTCAACTGACAACTTCCATTTTAGCTAAAAGTGAACACCTATTCCATGCAAAATCTTAAGCTTTGGGATTAACAAGACTCTCTCTCCTGTCATTACTTTAGTGTAATCTGTAGGAACTGCTCAAAGACGCTCAACAGAAGAATTGCTTTTACAACTTGCTCCCTGAAGCGACTTTCCCAGAGAGGCGGCACTAACAGCTTGCTCTGCTTCCACCACACAGTAACCATCTCTTACTGAGCCTTTCTATGCCACTGGCCCTCCATTCACATTACCCCCTGTATTTCCCACAACACCCTAAGAAGAGTTAACGATGCAAATGCCATCCCCTAGAATTACCTTCATTTTACTTGTAAGCAAATTGGGTCTCTAAGGTAGGAAAACAGTTTGTCCAAGGTTGTACTTCATAAAGTCAGTATTGAACCTGGCTCAATCTAATTCAAATTCCAGTGCTCCTCACCAGTGCATTATATTGTGACCGTGCAGCAGGGCAGGTCAGACGTTGAGATTCACAGACAAAAAATAAAACCCAAGTCACCTAATGAGAGACCTACTGCACACGCAGGGCTTCAGTTCTTCCTTCTTCAGCACACAACTCTCCCTGCCTCCCCCCCACCCGCCGCGTCCTACTGTCACAGTGCCAGTTCTGAGTGGAGCAGCTGCCTGCGCCTACTGATGCAAGCAAGACAGCTGTTCTGCATAGGAATTAGAATTATTACCATTATTTATATGGTGTGAGATATCACTCAGGGGACTCTGGTCCAAAGTGTCACAGCTAGTTAGGACCACATGCTGGCGGCCTTGCGCGTTTGTCAGGGAAACTGATCCACTACCGTAAGTAACTTGTCCTGTGGGGGCCTGTTGCCAAGGGAAGGCCAAATGTGAACAACAGTGTAAATGTTAGTCATTACCCATGGAAGACAGCTCTTTGAGTCCTGCTTTTAGCCATTTTTGATTAAAAAATGGTGGCTTGGGGCTAAGGGAGAAAGGGATGGCAGGAGAGAAGATTTGAAAATGATTAATGTAGTTATTAAAGAAAAATACTATGTGACAGTAACAAATGTGTTTAACTTGGGACTCTTCATTTCCATATGTAAACAAGCTTTCTATCCTTTTAAATTCTTCAATGGGTTCCTTCCTTTGAGCAGGTGTATTGTTCCTACCCTCCGCCTGGTTAATACAGAGGTAGACTTTGGGCGCTGCTTCCTGAAGTATCCATGTGAGAAAACCATCCAGCTTGTCAATCATGATGACCTCCCAGGATGCTATGAGGTTCTGCCTCAGGTGAGGTACTTTATCCTTTTTCAGTGTAGACTTTTCTTCAGTTGGATTTCCTCAATAAGAAAGAGAAACCCTTCTTAAGAGCTATATCCCTCAAGACATGGCTTTATGTAATTCTGGTTCTTAACCCTGGGATAGTCTGGGAGTTGGGTTGTAAAGCCACAGCTGGATTGCCATCTGCATGAGTGAGCAGCTGCAGGTGGAAATGGTTGCTAATTTCCCTGGAAAATTGCCTTTACTAAAGGAAAAAAAGGTCAGTTAAGCCAACATGCAAAAGTTACACCTGCAAATAATTGCCTTTGAATTAACCATGCATGGGAAGTGAGGCACAGCTGGGAGTCTTCACTTATGTCCATGGCTGTGACTTGGACAGCTTCATGAACAGAGTAATGCAATACTCACAAATGGTCTAGAAGGCCACAGATAATACGGAAATGAAAAAGGAGAAATTGCTTCTTAATGTTTTATGAGAAAGTTCTGCCCACATGCCACTACACCTAGCTAGGTGGAAGACTAAGCAGTCCAACACACATGGACTAAAGATCTTAAAAGCTCTGTACAGCCTGGAGTAATGGAAGGTTCCTAATGAGATATCATTTACCAAGAACACATTTGAGTTTAAGCGCAGTTCTGTAAGTACAGTACTCTGATAAAAATTCATGCAAACAAAAATCAAATGGAGGTTTTATTTGGCCACAAGTTCAAAATGAGTTAAAAGGCCAATGTGGGGACCACAGAACCAATGCAGGGTTAGGTTACATCAGAGAAACATAGTGTTCAGCCAAAGATAGGAGATGGCTGCTGATCAGCACAGTGTCAGAAATTTGTCTTCAGATCTTGACATTGCATTTTTGTAATAGAGACTTGGAAAAAAATGAATCATGATCAGAGTAACCAGAATGGCAAACTATGTCATCTGAAAATTCAAGTCATATGAGGAGCAAATGTAGTGTTTAATCTGAAAGAGACAAGACTTAACCAGGCCAAAGTAGCTATCCTTCAGTTAGTTGGAGGGCTGTTATGTAAAAGAGGGAATTACAGATATTGTGGGCTTCTCTGAGACAGAGCCAGAAGCCAAGGGTGAGAGGTGACAGAAGACAACTTTTCTGATTTTCAGGTGTTTAACAGCACAACAGGCTATCCCTGCACAGTGCACCCTCATCTTGAGAACTCAGAGCAGATCCCGCATCTGGGGTGATGGGGAAGCTATTTCTACACAGCTGGGCTAAGAAAAGGGTGAGGCACTTGCCTCAATCACGTAATTTAAGAGAGAGCCAAAAAAACTCAGTGGTCAAGATAAGTAACATTTTCATGCTGCATTTTAAGAAATCAAAATCAATGAAAAAAATCCACGATGAACAAAGTATCAAAACTTTATTTAAAGACAGAATCAGTTTTACTGACTTTCCTTTTGCCTCACGTTCCACTAAGGCAGGATGGTGCACTGCTGCAGAGGGCCGCAGAGTGAGATTAGGTCTCATTAGACCCAACCAGGCGCAGAAAGACCGTGGGGGTGCTCCAGACCACACACTCCAGAGCGTGGGGTGAAGCCAGTATGCTCTCTCCTTCTCTTGAGGAACTGAGGTTCTCAAGAGTGTTTCCCAGAATTACCTCAATTTATTTGGCCATGGGATTTTTAAAGTTTTATTTGCAGTTGTTGTCATTGCATGAAAGCTAGTGATAGGCTAGAGAACAGCGTTCTGGGCAACGTTCATTGATAGACACTGGATGGCATTCATTCATTCATTTGCCCACCTATTTCCCCATTTAAAAAACATGTAATGAGCATTTGTTTTGGACCATAAAGTGGACATGTATGGAGAAGAGGCCCAGGTTGCGCCCTCATGCTTCCAGCCCATGGTGACCATGGACACATAGATAGGGCATGCTGTGGAAAAGGACTGCAGGGTGCTCCCTGGGGACAGAGGAGAAGCTCTGACTCCAGAGCACTGGGGATACCTGGGGATGCCCAGGATGAGTGTGCAGGCAGGGAGCAGGCATTCCAGGGAGAGGAAACGCGGGCAAAGAGTGGGAGGTGGGTAGCAGTGTCGTGTGTTTGGGAAATACCTGTGGTCTCTGTTGATGGAGCACAAAGGGACGAGGTGATAGGCGGTGAACATGGGGGCTTGGAGGCCAGGTTAAGGAAGGTGGCCACGGACCGCTGTTGTGTTGAACTAATTCAAATTGTGGATAAATTCTGCATCTTGCTGGGTTGTACCCTTTGGATCTGGGGCCTTATGCACATTCCACTTAACCAAACTTCTTTTTTACAAAATTGGGGTGCTCATCCCTACATAAATGCTCAAATGATGAGACATTTCTAAAGAACTTCTGTGGACATGGGACAACACTTGTTTCCAAGTATTCTAATATGCTGTTGATTTTATAACCTGCTGGGGACATGCTTATCCCTCTGGTTGTCTCTTCCACCAGGTATGTGAGGACTCTCCTGCTGTGTTGCTCTCTAGTCCCATCCCCTGCGGAATCATCCCTCCCCAAAGCACCATTCACATACCTCTGGCCTTGGAGACCCAGGTCACTGGGGAACACATATCCACAGTTTACATCTCAATCTTCGGAAGCCAGGACCCCCCTGTGGTGAGAGCCAGTTTTTAGAATTGTATTTAAAATTGCTGTACTCTTTACCAAACTTCCAAGCCTCTGTTTTTAAGGCACATGTCATATTTGAATATCCTCCAGTTGTTTGTAGTTTGAGAATTCTACATATTCACTCCTTAATGGTAAAAAACTAGCAATGCATTACTTCAGGAATCTATTTGCAGATAAGTCCAAAAGTAGTGGTGTTTTGTAGCACTTGTTCTTAAACTCCTTTCAGGAGTTTTTCACATACCAAGACGTGCCTGACCCTTTCAAACCTATTAAGTCCAAACCTCAGAGGGGAGAGCACACATGTATATTTAACACCCTCCTCAGCTGCTCCTGTGGGAAGCTTGGTTTGGGCATCACCAGCCTGCTGCATATGGGCTCTGAGGTCAATTTCACTCATAGCTCACCAGATCTCTTCCTGTGTATTATTGACTGGACTCATTGCCCAAATTAACCTTCCTTAGCTGTTAAGAGAAGTAGCTTCTCTCCAACTGTGGGAAGAGGGGGACATGGAAAGCTCTCTAATGCTTGAGATGAATCAAAGGATAAATCTTGAATCTTAAAGGAAGTTGCCCAACAGGCTATGAATCCCTAGATATTTGATTTATTTGGGCACTGGGTGATATTAGTGTACATTTATTTGAAGAGATTTCTGATTGCTTAGCTATCAGTAGAATAAACTAGGATTTTGCTTCTGTCTTCTATGTAACATGCCATAGATAAGCCGCCTGACTTATAAAGCAGTATCACAAGGTGCCACTGATCCAGGTCCCCTGCCTGCCTGCCCTGGGCGCAGCAGTGCAGCTCAAAAGAGGGTCATTTGCTGAGCCACCAGCACTTTATGAAAGAAAAAGGCCCCTTTCCTGGCTGACGGCACAGGGCGAGGGAAACAGAGCAAGGTGGATTGCAGCCCTGCACAGCTGTGTGCAGTAGACAGCCCCGTGTGCCACTAGAAAAGCAGCACAACGGGGCTCAATCCAGCCATTTCCGATTCTTAAGCACCAGTCCTTAGGCCCATGCAAAGTGTTCTTGAGGCGGGCTGCTGGGCAGCGTAGAGAGGACCATTACTGTGGTTTCCCCTTGGTGCACAGTTCTGGGCTGACCCCGGGAAGCAGATCACCCTGGAGGAATTTCAGGCTGGATTCAAAGGTCTGACCAGCATGGCCCTCCCTTTGTCCCTCTGACCACGGAGTATCAGAGGAAAGGGATGTCAGTTTTACTAAACATTCTCTTATGCCTCTTCTTTTTATTAGAGAAGTGACTAGAAGTTTCTGCTTCAATCAGTTTTAAAGACCAGCTATTTTCAGCTATTTTCTGTGTCCTTTCCCTTGCTGGGAACACAGGTGTGTCACATAAGGAGCGTCGGTGAAGGCCCAGTTATCTATGTACATCCCACTCAAGTTAATTTTGGCACTATCTACGTCTTAAAGGAGTCTTCCAGGATTCTCAACCTATCTAACCAGTCCTTCATCCCTGGATTATTTAAGGCACGCATGGTGAGTAGATTGTGGAACTGTCATGTGATTAAAGTACAATTTTGCCTAAGTCTTATAGGCAGTGGCCCTAACCTTTGCAAATGCCTTCGAAAATGATCACCAAAAGCAGAGATGTACATGGTTCAACTGCATTAAACAATGTCACTCTCATCCTCAATTCCTCCTTATTATAATAATTTTGTTGGCTAAGAAACACAATATACATGTAGCTTAGTAAACAAACAAATATATTTACTGTAATCTCAGTGCAGGAAGATGCTTCAGAGATATCCCACTGAGCTGTACGTAAGCCCGGCCCTGTATCTCAAGAAAATACCTTTTAAATGTCCTTTGAACAGAGATAATATATTCTTTTTTGCAGAATTTAGGAATTTCTAATACAGTGCTTTAATATACTTGATTTTAGAAAACATTTTCTAAATTTAAATATAAAATTTAAAATTGTATAGCCCTTCTATCTGCAAATTATTGACAATTGAATGAATGCTAACATTTGGTTTCAGCATTTGTCAGGTATTTCTAAAAAATCAAAATTATTAATTTTATAAAAATCACTATCAGAATGAATAGAATTATAGTTTTCTGCTGACGTGTGACAGCTCCTCAGAGTCATTGGTCCCAATCAGCGGCCATTTACCATTATCATTATTCATTTTTATCATCATTTATCTTTATTCCCTGTAAAGGCAGCCATTTCCAATACAGTCACTGCTCTTTTTAACATGAGGTTCAGACATTGTATAAATAATAACATTTAAAGAAAAGTCCTACAAAAAAGATGCCTTTGCTAGTCTTTATCCAGTTAATTGATGGGTTTGGTGGAAAGCTTGGGAGTTGATGGATTTGGTGAATTGCTTAGGACATGTTGCTTCCAGTCCAGTTTTGTACAGGCAGAGTTTACAGTGGGGGAGGGACAGAAGAGTCACCTGAGCAGTTCAGGACAATGAGTGGGCACTGGAGGGTCCTACTGCCATTGCGGAGGAAGAAGAGGGGCATAGACCACAGGAGTGCTTAGGTACAAATACCATACCTCTTCCCTTTCTCACTACCTCCCGTTTCATTCTCAGATATCCAGATTTCACTGTTTATGGCAATTTTTGGTACATTTCAAGAGCAAAAAGCACATCAAGGATCTCTTGGGGTTTTTGGTTGTTTTTGTTTTGTTGTGTTGCTAATATAGGGTATATACTGAATGACACAACTAGTTGTTAAAATGGGACTTTTTCTTTTCCATAAAGGTTTCATGATTCCATCTTTTGATTCTCTAATATCATCTTAAACCAGGAAGCTCCAGTTCCAAGGAACCAAATGAGTGCTATTGGTGATCTGCTGTAGAATGTGTGTTTCCCTCAGTCCTCTCTTGGAAAACTGGTGTTTATTGAGTTGATTGCCCTTTTAGCATCAAAGTCATTTCAACTGTAATTCTTATAGTTGAAAATTAAACTCTTCATATTTTGACTGGGATTTTGATGGATTTCCTAGTAAATACTGTTTGTGTCGATGTTATAGAAGTTGAATTATACTAACTTAGAAATTACCTACAGTGAGAAGAAATAGAAAAACATTTTATTAAATTTAACTTAATATACAGCACTAAAATTGCAAATTCATTCTTACAGAAATTACTAAGCATTAGGAAATAGCTTTAATTAATAGTTGTTTGTTCCCTAACTAAGCCAACAGCTCAAAACCCAGGTAAATGGTGGTCAAATATTTATTGCACTTAATTTTCAGCCCACAGAGATAAGTAGGGTCAAGGGCACGTTGTTCACTTCTTCTGCCATTACTGTGAAGTCAGGCCTGGAGTTCCTGTGGATGTCCTGACAGGAGGGGTCATTCCCTCTCCTCTTCTGGCTGTCACCGAGTGTCAGCCCTCCCTCCCCAGATGCGGCGCCTGCTGTCAGCCGTCTGTCATGCTCAGCCTTGTGCACGGCGTGCACGTCACGGCAAACACGGTGACTGGTTTCTCCCTTAGCAAGAAACATCTGTTTGTTATCACTGGAAGGGCCAGGAGAAGGGAAGCTGGAAGCCCACCTTCACTGTGATGTTGGGAAGATAAATGACACTAAGAGCAATTTTAAATTTCTCAGAAATAAAAGGTATACAAAAATGATTTTTTAAAAGAACAGAAACCTTAGTATAATATGTTTGAAGAAACAGTGAAGATTATATTCTTTTCTGTTCCATTAAAGCTTAATTTATCCTGAGAGTTAAAAGAAAAATTGATCAGTAAAAGAAGAGTTTTTCGTGACCTGCAGCAGAAAGGTCTCCTTTGCTTTGGAATGCCTGAAATACCAACCTCCCGAAAGGTTTCCAATTGCAGACTTACGGGATTAAGCTGAAGGACTCAAAACAATAGAGTGAATCACCTCTGGTTTGGAAGGGTAAAAAATATCAGAATGTGAGAACAGAGAACAAAAGGCCCTTTTACCAAGATTCTGTGGGCTCTGCTTGTACACACAATGCTCCTTCAGGAAGGTAGATGTCCTCTCTCTGGGTGACAGCAGAAATGAATGCGAGAATAAAGTAGTTTCCCCCAGGCGCTGGGACCTCTGCACTGGGCGGGAAAGCAGATGCCTTGTTTGCATGGGTGCCCCTTGCTAGGTAGAGCAAGTGCATTGCTCAGCACTTGGTTGAAAGCATCTGGAATCCTTTTCCTTTCGCTCTTGGCTGTAATTCAGCCTTGGGTACTGTTAATTTGAGAGCTTGTATACAATTGTCGGTGACACCTTGGGATTCAACTGGCACTAAAACATTTTCACAGTGGCCTTCTGCCTCTGTGATCTGTGGGAGAGGCCATTGTAGTTCGATCTTTAGAGTTTACAGGATCCAGGAAACAGGAATTCTGATGCCTCGTTCAAGTATGGTTCTTTTTAAACTTTTATTTTCTTGGTCTCTTGCCAGAGCCATACACAGTAGTGTGGCATCAAGGGAATCGTTGGGCTTTTACATCTCCTTCAGACCCTAACCGCTTGGTTATTTCATCATTTAAATGCGGATTGCCTTTCTATATTTACCTGTTTACATGCCTGACTCCTTCAAATGACAAGGGTCTCTGCTTTGAATTCCCAACACCTAGCAACAGGGCTGATGATGACAATACAATGAATGACATTCAGTATGACCAATGTTTATTTAGTTCTATTTGCAACTTATATGCAGTGTTTCATTTATTAGGACTCTTGTGAGAGAAACACTATTATAATGTCCGTTTTAACAAGGTAGAAACAAAGGTGCAGAGAGGTTAAGTAAATTGCCACAAGTGCCAAGTGGCAGAGCCTGTTCCGACGTATGGTGGTCTGATTTCAGACCCATGGTCTTTTCCATGGTGCTTCTGTACTGCCTAACTTTGCCTAATCGTTGGTAGTTAAAATGGACTTAAACATAGCAAAAAGATTTTGGGTTTATGTTCATAGAAGGCCCTTAAAGATAGACATCTGGAAGAGCAGGTTTTGCTGAAAGGGCAAGAAATTAAGGAGCATTTCTGAAATAGACAAAAGGACCAGATAGTCTTCATTTTATTCAGAGATATGCTAAAATGTATATTTGCAAAAAATCTCCATGATGTTATTTTCAATCAACCATAATTCCTTCTATTACATGTATGAAATAATGACACAGCTCACTGTCCTTTTTTGATCCTATGTAACATAGTCTGACAGAACTTTCAGTTCTCATGTAAATGTGTGTAAAAATTCTTCACTACTATAGTTCTTAAAAGAAGTTAAAAAAAGTTATGACCTATTTTAACAAAATAAATAGACAAAACCAGAAGGAAACTGGCAAGCATTTTATATCCAGTGAGATTTTTGGTGCTCTTGGTGCTGGACCCAATCCATTTTAAGAGATAGTAAAATTGTAGGCATTCTGGAGAGGTGTGTGTTCATTTGTTTTTTTGTAGCAGCTGGGTTGTTGAAATCTGTAGCTATACCTCATACACTACATTATCCCTACATAACTTGGAAGCTCATGCTATAGATCTGGAACTTAGTTCTTTTACTATATTGAGGTATTAGTGTTAGAGAGATTTCTAATGGACAAGCAATCATTCTCCAATGCTTTTTGATAGATGCTGTTATTAAGATATTACATCCCATAATGTGTGTGAAGAGAGGGTAGAATGAGCTGTTTCTCAGCCTTCAGTGGGTAGATTTAGCTCTGTCCTCAGAATGAACCATTACCTCGATGGAAGGAAACAGGTAAGGAAAAAAGATATAAGCAAAAATGAAAGAAATGCGCCTGAATCAGAGACCAGATGCAGTTGTTTTACCTCTTTATATCCTTTTTTGTTGTTGTTTCTGAGGGTTTTGCAAAATAATAAGTTTGTTTATAAAATGTACACTTCCGATATAATCTTTGGGTTTTTACCTCGTAATTAAACTCTTACGTTGACTGTGGTTTATGCCATAATACTTTCTGTGTCCTCAGTCACCCCCACTCCCTCTAGGTTTGCAGTGTCGACTTAAAAAAAATTTTTTTATACAGGCCTTTGTTTATTCTTTTGAAAAATATAGTTTATTGTTTATGCTATTACAGTTGTCTCAATTTTTCCTTTTGCCTCCTCTGCCCAGCCCCTGCCTCCACACTCCCTCAGGCCCCTCTTAACAGATCAGACAACTGAGGTTCTATTGGCTGAGAGACCTGCCCAAGGTAACATGCCCAAAGGACGGCAGCCCTTATGCTATAACTCAGATTTTCTGAACTGTAGTCAGTCCTGTTCTTTCACGACAGAAATATGTGATTCTAGAAGTCATTGTATATTTACCATATTTTTAACACAGAAAAATTCAAGAGATACACATGACACTCAAATCTAATTCATGTTAATCTTTCTTACATTTACCTTAGATCCTTTATTTTGAAAAAAAATATTAAAGTTGGAGTTTTATATGTTCTCCTTGCCGGTCCCATTTTCTTCTTTCCCCAGAGGGCACCTTATCATGAATTTGATGTATATCCATGTCATGTTTTTTATATCTCATTACAGGTATATGTGTATT